ATAATAATAATAATAATAATAATAATAATAATAATTTTATAATATAACATTTACGGATATTATAAAAATGGGAGTGAGGGACATCTCTAACTGAAATCGGCAATTACTTAGTTGCCAACCCAATAGTTACGAAGCGTCAACAACTGTAGAAAGCGAGCTACGAGGCTCGAATAATCGTATCTCCTCTTCCCAAATTCTCCATTTTTGTTTACAGGTTAAGAGAAAGTTCGGGAGAAGTCACTGTATTTAGCGACGAGGTGCGCCAACTGGTCAAAGTATTTACTTTAATTACAGTAATTTCTCCATAATTTTCGCGCTCAGATTACGCACTAAAAATGGACAATTTGGGAAGAGGCGATACGATTATTTCAGCCTTGCACCTCGAATTTATAATTGTTGACAATCGGCGACTGTAGAAACGAGTTTCAAGGCTCGAATAATCGTATCTTCTCTTCCCAAATTCTCCATTTTTGTTTACAGGTTAAAGAAAAGTTCGGCAGAATTCTCTGTATTTAGCGACGAGGTGCGCCAACTAGTCGAAGTATTTACTTTAATTACCGTAATTTCTCCATAATTTTCGCGCTCAGATTGCGCAGTAAAAATGGACAATTTGGGAAGAGGAGATACGATTCGATTCGAGCCTCGCGGTTCGTTTTTATAATCACGAAGCGTCAACAACTATACAAAAACAAGCTACGAGGCTCGAATAATCGTGTCTCCTCTTCCCAAATTCTCCATTTTCGTGGACAATCTGAGCGTCAATTAGAGAGACATTACTGTACCGAGAACCAAGTGACTGTAATCGCTTGTTCTTACAGCCGTGCTGGTCTCTTGTCAGGGTCCCTATGGGTGCATAAAGAAAGTAGATAAATGGCAGCCTTCTCGACCGTGGAGAACGTTGAATAGTAATTTAAAGAATACTGAATTCCTCGACAAGAGGAACGTGGAAAATATTCGGGAACAGCGGAATTAAAAATCGAGAGGAACAAGTGAAAAAAGAAAGAGTACATATTGAGAAACAGGTAAAATTGACCGATTGATTCATTAACCGTGCTGTTCTTCCGGAATATAATACATAAATATGCTCCTACATAAAAATATCTGTGATCGTATTTTTCAATCAAATTGAAGCTTTTTCATCGCAAACGCGCATGTTCGAGGAAAACAGCAAGATTGAAAATTAGAAAAGGAGGAACCGAGCTTAGAGAGTATACAGTAATGTCTCCCTAACCGACGCTCAGTTTGTGCACAAAAGTGGACAATTTGGGAAGAGGAGATATGATTATTCAAGCCCTCGTTCTTATAGTCGTTGACAATCGATAACCATAAAAAACGAGTCACAAGGCTCAAAACAATCGTATCTCCACTTCCTAAATTCTCCATTTTTTGTGGACAATCTGAGCGTCAATTAGAGAGACATTACTGTAGATAGACTGCGAATCTTTATGCGTCTTATAAAAATATTTAAAATTCATCAGACAATCGATACTCCAGATATATATAACAAATCTTAGACTCTTTAAAAGCATCAATGAGAATTTAGATTCGCATAAACGTGCACAGTCTAGTGGTGCACGATTCATTTACTATTCAAATAGCTAATATCGAGGAATGTAATATTCAGGACGATAAAAGAAAGATTCAGAACTTCGGTAAAAGATTGTCCATGATTCCTGTGAGATCGAGGGTGCTCATGAAAAGAGGAAAAACAGTTCTAATGAAAACGAGTCGATAAACTAATATTTGCGAACTTACAAGTTGCTTCTAACGAGTACAATCGAGTACTGCCTATTTGAAATTCTGAATCGTTTGTTTTGCCTCGCTGCTTAACAGGCCGCTCGGACAGTCGTCTTACATCGTACAACTTGTCCGAAAAGCTTCACACGGGGCCTCGGATTTGCTCTTTAGGTTCGCGCGCAAGTATTTGAGCGTTGCACCGACCGAAGTAGACCATCGTTTGCAAACACCATGAAGTGGAATGAAACGGAACGTTTCCGGAACGTTTCGCGATGCCGAGACTTGACGCGTCGACTGGACTGCCTTACATTTGCATTAATTTACCTTTAGTCTTTTGCATTAATTTACCCTTACCTAATTACATTGCATCGATTCTGCTTTAGTTTGTAAGCAAAAACGGACAGTTTCGGAAGAGGAGATGCGATTATGAAATAACCCCGCGTTTCGTTTTTATAGTTGCCGTTTGTCAACGATTATAAAAACGAGGCGCGAGACTCGAATAATGGTATTTTATTTTTCCAAAAAGTCTGTTTTTGTTTACGAGCTGAAGAAAAATTGGGCAGAATTTCCGGTATAACGTGATAACCAATCGCTCTCCCGAATTCAAAGATCAATTTTCACGCATTTGCAGCTTATAAAGTTTCGAAACTAAGAGATACGAAATTGTTGTTGGAATTAAGACAGTGTCGCGAAAACTGCAAACGAAAACCAGCAGTTTAATTATTAAAATTAATTCTCGACTGCGAATTTTCACGCATTTGCAGCTCACAAAGCCTCGAAACTAAGAGATACGAAATTATTGTTGGAATTAAGACAGTGTCACGAAAATTGCAAACGAAAACCAGCAGTCTAATGATTAAAATTAATTTCTGACTGCGAATTTTCACGCATTTGCGGCTCACAGAGTTTCAAAACTTAAAGATACGAAATTCTGTCGGAATTAAAATAGTGTCACGAAAACTGCAAGCGAAAGCCAGCAATCTGATGATTAAAATTAAATTCTGACTTCGAATTTTCATGCATTTGCGGCTCATAGAGTTCCGAAACTAAGAAATACGAAATTCTGTCGGAATTAAAACAGTGTCGCGAAAACTGCAAACGAGAACCAGCAGTCTAATGATTAAAACTAATTTCTGACTGCGAATTTTCACGCATTTGCGGCTCACAAAGCCTCGAAACTAAGAGATACGAAATTATTGTTGGAATTAAGACAGTGTCACGAAAATTGCAAACGAAAACCAGCAGTCTAATGATTAAAATTAATTTTTGTCTGCGAATTTTCACGCATTTGCGGCTCACAGAGTTTCGAAACTAAGAGATATGAAATTATTGTTGGAATTAACGCAGTGTCACGAAAATTGCAAACGAAAACCAGCAGTCTAATGATTAAAATTAATTTCTGACTGCGAATTTTCACGCATTTGCGGCTCACAGAGTTTCAAAACTTAAAGATACGAAATTCTGTCGGAATTAAAATAGTGTCACGAAAACTGCAAGCGAAAGCCAGCAATCTGATGATTAAAATTAAATTCTGACTTCGAATTTTCATGCATTTGCGGCTCATAGAGTTCCGAAACTAAGAAATACGAAATTCTGTCGGAATTAAAACAGTGTCGCGAAAACTGCAAACGAGAACCAGCAGTCTAATGATTAAAACTAATTTCTGACTGCGAATTTTCACGCATTTGCGGCTCACAAAGCCTCGAAACTAAGAGATACGAAATTATTGTTGGAATTAAGACAGTGTCACGAAAATTGCAAACGAAAACCAGCAGTCTAATGATTAAAATTAATTTTTGTCTGCGAATTTTCACGCATTTGCGGCTCACAGAGTTTCGAAACTAAGAGATATGAAATTATTGTTGGAATTAACGCAGTGTCACGAAAATTGCAAACGAAAACCAGCAGTCTAATGATTAAAATTAATTTCTGACTGCGAATTTTCACGCATTTGCGGCTCACAGAGTTTCAAAACTTAAAGATACGAAATTCTGTCGGAATTAAAATAGTGTCACGAAAACTGCAAGCGAAAGCCAGCAATCTGATGATTAAAATTAAATTCTGACTTCGAATTTTCATGCATTTGCGGCTCATAGAGTTCCGAAACTAAGAAATACGAAATTCTGTCGGAATTAAAACAGTGTCGCGAAAACTGCAAACGAGAACCAGCAGTCTAATGATTAAAACTAATTTCTGACTGCGAATTTTCACGCATTTGCGGCTCACAAAGCCTCGAAACTAAGAGATACGAAATTATTGTTGGAATTAAGACAGTGTCACGAAAATTGCAAACGAAAAACCAGCAGTCTAATGATTAAACCGAACCTTCCGATTGACGCTTTATTCTTCGCAAACGACGAATTTCCATCAACAAGTAAACTACCCTCTCCTGTTCGAAAGAGATAACATTTCCGTTGTTTGCTACAATATTGCGAGCACGGATCGCCGCGCAAGAACCGCGTCCAGATCGGAGACTCCTCGCACGATTGTTCCGGATCGAGCACGCTATTCTCGTCGACCAATTTTCCGCGTAAGCGGTGCGCGCGTGTACGAACGAACTGTTGCAAGTCGTCGGACGATCATTAAACGCTACAAAGCATTCGCGAATGGCCGCGGGGAGAGATTTGGCTGGTAATCGTATCAGGACGGATGATGAAGCGAAAGATGCGACCTTAAAAGCGGCGTCGGCGAATCGGACGTAAACTCATCGCGGATGCAATCTGTAAATTGGTTCCCCGTTATAACGAGCGCTTGCAGATGTTCGCGAACTATATTTCGAAGTAATAGTCGCGCGTTCAGTTATGCTACCGATAAAAACCGTTCGTTATCTCGGTTTCGAACATGGAGCGGTAATTTACCGGCCGACCCGCTCTTTCCGCTTTGATTTCGCGAGACATCCGCGATCTTTCACATCTTTCGTCTTTCATTCAAGTTTCCCGATCCAGTCGACGCGTCGATCATGTTCACGGCGAAAGTAGGATTTACAAAATCGGGGTTCTCGAATGGTTCGTGTGACGCGTCCCGTTCTCGTTGGAAATACGTTCGCCGCGCGCGGTACAATCGGCTGTGTCGCGCGTACAATTTTTTCGTTACGGTGTGTACCGGGACCATAAAAATCCGAACGCTCGCCGAGAGCCGGCGTTAGAGTCTGAAGAATCCGTCGCAGCAGATTTACGCGGCCAGCTCGAAATCCCTGGACAGGAACCATACGTTCATCGGCTCCGACTTGCCCTTCATGGTCACCGGTCCTCTGTACTCCAGCAGAAATTGCGGGTCGTGGTTCTCAGGCATGCACAGGTACCTGGGGACAAGCGAACGGTAATATTATTGGCTTGTTAACCCGACGGGCTCGCCGATGATCGCGCTGCAGAATGAATGCTAATTTACGTGGGGCATCTTGCGCGGGTCGCGAATGTTTATACGCCGAAATTATAATATAAATTAATAATAATTATTATTAGTATTTATATGTTATATATATATAGTTATTATTATATAGTTATTATTATTATAGTTATATTTATATATATAGTTATTATTACTATTATTATTATATATATTAGTTAGTAGATATTTCCGGGAAATGAGGGATTCCTGAGGTAATTTGAAGTAACTTTTTCCTTAGCGAAAATGTTCTACGAGGCTCCGTTTACGAGTCATTCACGAAAAACAGTGACCAATGAGGGGCGAGCTCGCCTGGCGCTAGGCAACCGAGCCAATGAGCGGAGCTGGGCTCCGTGCGCTCGCCTCGCGCCAGCCGAGCTCGCCTCTCATTGGCCAGTGTTTTTCGTTAATAACTCGTAAACGAAGCCTCGGCGAAAATTTTTGTAAAGGAAAAAGTTGCTCCGAATGGCCTCGGTAATCTATAATTTCCCGCAAGTACCATAATCTTGTGACACCCTGTATATTAGAAACAATAGAAAATACAAATATACAAATAATGATATATCGTTAAGATTTCTTTTAAATATCGCTGAAAGCGTATTGAAAGTTACTTCGAGTCAATAATTATTCGCACCGCCGGATCCGCCAAAATGGCGGCGTGAAATCACGCTACGGTGGTCGCGGCATCTAATTCCGTGACTCGCGCTGCGTGAAACTATAAAAATCCATCGGTGCCGAGGACTGGACGATAAAAGGCGACTTTACTACTGTATAAAGTGGTTTCTTATTAGACGTCTCGTTAGACGAAGATGAAAGGATACAGTTAAGTAAATTGCTGTTCATCCGCGACATCGCGGGGAACGATCGAGTGTCCCGAGCTCTCCGGTAAAGAAAAAAAGGAAAAAAGAAAAAGAAAAAAAATGAACAACCAGCAGGTTCTTAACGATCTCCTCGCAGCAGTTCGCAGACATTAGTTCCCCCTGCGTAAATACTAAACAGAGTATACGAACATTCCCGTCGCCGTGCACGCATCGTGGCACGGCGCACCGGTTTAATTTGTAGAAACGTCTGCTGCTCGGCGGGCCGCGAACGTTCCGCCGTTTAACGACTTCAATCAGACCCGCGAAATGGCACGCGACCCGAAACTGGACAACACACGCGGAACAACTATTCGACTATTGTTCCGCGTTAAAAGTATATACAAGCTATCTATCTTAACCCTTTCGGTACGATCGCGTTGTCCGCCGTGACACTCCCACTGTACGGGGTGCCGCGCCGAAAATGCGCACATAACGCAGAGTCAGTCCACTTTTGTACGAAGATTTTCTTAACCTTTTGAGCTCTGAATACTCCTGGCCGAAACGGTTCGTAGGGACGGAGCGCGTCCAGGCCGATGACTTACAGAAAACACATAAATGCGACCTTAGGCTACACGGATGACTTTCGCCAAACGCATATATGCGTCCATAGAGCTCTAAGGGTTAAAAGGCAAAACAGACAACGAACGAACAGATACTAACCAGACACCAACGCGCAAAGACGACGGTCAAGACTCCGCCGATAGTCTCGCCATCAACTCAATTCATTCCAAGTCAAGTACAGTTAATCACCCTAGTGTTGAAAGTTGTTATGTCATATCAAAATATAGTGTTATCGATATCAGCCAGTTTTAAAACCATTCTTCATCAACCTATCATCCGTATCGCTCGAAAGAGTCATAGGGAATCGCGCAGATTCGGTGTCATACACAATTGAATCGGAGACTTACGACCTCCGTAGATCGAACAGTGAAACTGTTCCTGACAAAACAACTATTTTATGGAAGGCGCGGCGGACACACGTGTCCGCCGATTCGAGACCGCAACCGCGAGAAGTATCCGCGTCGCAATTTAGCGCCGCGATCGGCCAATAAATTAGCCGGCCGGCCGGCGACTCGCTGCTAATCGGCGACGTGGCCGCGCCTAATTGGCCATGTTTATCCGCCTTCCGACCAGGGATGAAATATTTACCGCGTGCTCGGCGACGCGCGTCCGCCGAGCAGGGGACGGGACCAGCCGTCGAAGCCCTTCGACTGCTTCTTTAACACCTAATCGAGTTAGCCGGGCCGTCGTTTGTCCCTCCGTTCATCGTGTCGGCTATCATTCCTGGCCGATCGAGTGCGAAGTTCGCTCGCTCGTTAGGCGACGTGAAATTTGTGCATGTCGCTGCTCGAGACCGCTTTCCGGCCGATCGGGAAACGATGGAGGTGCTGATCGACTGCTATTTCGACAGGCTGTTCGCCGAGATGGAGCGCAGCTGCCTCGCGTCGCGATACAAACGGCGAGAGATGGTCGGATACTTCTCGGACGTGATAAACAGCTGCGCAGCAGGTAACGTTTTCGACCCCGTGCACTCGGTGCTTCCGGATTTCGCGTCGGACTTTCAGTGACTGCGCTCTTAACCTTTTAGGCACGACGCGCCACTATAGTGGCTTTCGCGGATGTCATCTCTCTGGACGACGCGCCACTATAGTGGCTTGCTCTAGTAGCTCACTCGCTCATCGTTTGAACCAAATAATCGTCTTCGTATGCATTGTTTCACACTTCTTTTGTCTTCGCATCGATTTACAACAGTCTACAGGGTGTCCCAAAAATGTCTCGCAATTCGGAAATGGCGGGTTCCTCGGATCATTTGAAGCAACTTCTTCCTCTACAAAAATTTTCTCCGAGGCACCGTTAACGAGTTATTAACGAAAAACAGTGACCAATAAGAATCGAGCTCGGCTGACGCGAGGCGGCCCAGCCAACCAGCGCGCGAAGCCCAGTTCCGCTCATTGGCTCGATCGCCTCGCGCCAGCCGAGCTCGCCTCTCATTGGTCACTGTTTTTCGATAATAACTCCTTAACGGTGCCTCGGAGAAAATTTTTGTAAAGGAAAAAGTTGCTTCGAATGGCCTGAGGAACCCGACACTTTCGGATTGCAAGACATTTTTGGGACACTCTGTATATACAGTATCAGACTCTGTACAGTACATATCAGACTCCGCCGTACCTAAAAGGTTAAGGGAGGGGAGGGGGCGGATTGCATGTATGACAACCCACACATAGAAGAAAAGCCATATAGGTATATTAGTTTTCGAGGTTCACCACTAAATTAGGATTATCCACTAAAACTGACGCTTTAATATCGAAGTGTGCAGTTCACAAGTGGAAAATTTAGATTTTCGAAAAGACTAAACTCTCGAGGGCTTCGGTTGTAGAAATATCCGTTTTGCAGTTATCGCGGAGATATTTGCAATATTCGACCAGAGTGGTGTCAATCTCATGAGCATGACGTCACAAGATGTCCGCCGCTAACAGTTTTTTGTAAATATCAAAAGATTTAGAGCTCGCATCGAAAATTCACAACCGAAGTCGCCGAGATAAGGCTTGTACAAAGGCAGTGGAGTGTATTTTCAGTTGATCACTTAGTTAATTAACTTGATTCTTTTGTGCTGCGAAGAGTTTCCTCTGTCTAGGATCCTCTGTCTCGCACGTTACCGTTCGGATTCCAATGGGTAGCTTCGCTGACCCGTTCGGAACAGCTGGGAAATTAGTAGAACTGCTGCTAGACGTGCCAAGAAATGAGCCGTTTATTTTGAAAGTGGCATAAGTCATTTTTTTTTTTTTTAAACGCAAAGATGCCGTTCACTAATTACAAATTAGTGTTACCATTAACTCGATTTTTTTGAAAAAGTGACTTATGCCACTTTCAAAATAAACGGCACAAATCGTGGAATCGTTGATGAATTAAGTTAAGTCACCCGATACAAAGGTCAATGTCGAGACTGGCTCGACGCGAGACCGGGAGGGTTAATCGTCATCGATCGTGCTGCCTTCTAACGCTGATCGTGCACCGATAAACACGCATTTTTGTTGCTTAAACAAAATCTCCGTGCTGTTATTCCAGTTCTGCGATATTTTTACGACACTCAAACAACGATCTAGAGATGCATTCGAAAAGCTACTAGACTTTGGTATGAAAACATTGATGGTAAATCGTTGTCTCTCGTAGTGACGCACAATGTTAGAGTAGATTCTCCCTAATTGACGCTCAGATTGTACATAAATATAGACAATTTGGGAAGAGGCGATTATAAAATATTTATATTTAAATATAGATAAATATATCGAGTGCAAAGGGTTAAATATAAATTCGATTATTATTATTTATTATATATATATATATTATTATTATATATTAATAATATATATAAATATATATATTAATAATATATATAAATATATATATATATATATATATATATATATATTATTATTATATATTAATAATATATATAAATATATATATATATATATATATATATATATATTTAATTTAATAATATATATATATATTTATTTATTTAATATACGATAATTTGGGCCTTGCGACTCGTTTTCATAACTCGAATAATCGTATCTCCTCTCCCGGAATTGTCCATTTCCATGCAAAATCTGAGCGTCAATTAGGGAGAATCGTCATTTCATCAACTGTATCAAGATTCCTATCAAGTCCCGAAAAAGAAATACCTAACTTAACCGACTTCAAATGATTAATCCTCGAACGCCGGACCATTTTCGCAGCTTTATTATCAACGACGTTCACGGCAATCCTGAACTTTATCCAGCAATTCTGCGAAATATATTTTCGAAAATACGTCTGTCAGACTTATCAGCCTTTCTATCGTTCCTCTATTCAATCGCCGAGAATCGGATAGAAGAATCGATCAAGCGAACACGATCTGAACACTCCGGCACAAAATGGACCCCGGCCAACCGCCTCGCGAGGGTTAATCGATCGGCCGGCGAATACCCGCCAATCGACGACCGATTCGACGAGACGGTTCGGTTTTCCTCGAAATCGCGACACTGGCTCGCTGATCGATCGGGGCGTGATCGCGAAATCGTGGGTCTCGGAACGAATCCGCGTGATTTACCGTACATCTAACGGGGTTCCGTCGCAGCGACCGGCTCGAATCGAGCTCTCGGACCGTTCCGACGCGGCCGTGCAGATTTTCCGTGCCAGTGGCCGCCAGGTTCGTGTCCACCAGGCCGGCGCAAATTCTATTGTGCGACCATGAAAGTGATTCGATCGAGGATAGCGGAAGGAAAGTGATACCGCGGTGTAATGTTAGACGCGGGAGAAACTTATGCAGTGTCGTCGCCGTCGTCATCGTCGTTGTCGTCGTTGTCGTCGTCGTAGTTCCCGTTGCCGTGGTGGTCGTGCACACCGATATTCGGCTTTCTTCGAAAAATTATGCGAGACGCTGCCTCTGGAAAACGCGATCGAAAGTATCGGCACGAGAAAGAAAAAGTCCCGATCGTTCACCCGACTGCTTATACCGTGACCGCGCCGGAGAAACGGGTGCCGTGGTTCCGACGCATTCGTGGCACCGATATATTCGTGGTTCAAGGTCGTTTCGTGTTCATCCCCGATCGCGGTTCCCTTTCAAATCCTTCTGGATGAACTTCTGGACCCGACGAGGGTCTGAAAAGTCGACAATGCGAGAGTTCCGCGCGATTCTGTCAGCGAAAACTGCCCTCGGAGAACGCGAAATTCGGCTGCAAAGATCGTTTTCCAAGGCTTTCTGCCGCGCACAATAGAGAGATCGATAGCTCGACATCGATTTGTCAGTATCGCGGAAAAAATATTTCGACTTTCGAGCCGTTTGTGAGATTTTTCAAGTGTCGTCGTTGCGTCCAGCACTGTACAGGGTGGCAGGATATGTCGCGTCACGGCTTTCACAGGTGATTCGATGCTCTCCGATCGACGGCGATAGATCGCAAACTTTCCAGACAATTGATCTTTCCCTGGAAATTCGAGGCGAAATTCTTCTAACCAGCCGAAAGTCTCAATGTCGCTGTATTCCTTAAAATGACGACCGATTGCTTGTTAATTGTTTTCGTGGACCGGAGCAGATGTTGCAATGATCTAGCCTAATCCAGCGACGGCGATTTTGAGAAGTGGGTCAAATTTTGCTCATTATTGTTTTCAATACTAGCTGGTGGATCAGTGACGTCACTTGGAAAGGAGGATGGTTAAAAACTAGTCTTTTTGGTTCTCACTTTTAAAATCCTCTAAATAGTTTGCGTTTCCTCTTTGTTTTATAAAAACTTTAACTTAACTTTTACTTTTGCAAGTGAAGAGCAAAAAGTGATGGTCGAAGTTAAAAAATTGGTATAAATGGAGTGGCACCATGAATTACCGCACTAGGTGACACCATGTCCTGGCAGTCGGTCCTCCATTTGGAAATATTTTTTTATAAATTCTAAATAAATACAGCTCGAATAATAATATGTTTATAGTATATATAATAATAATAATAATAATAATAATAATAATAATAATAATAATAATATATATAGTAATATATATAATAACAATATGTTTTATATATATAAAACATATTATTATTCGAGCTATATTTATTTAGAACTTAATAGATAAAGATCGACGTGAACAAATTGATACAAATGAAGCGACACTTTTCTTAACATTTTCGATTATGTCTCCTCCTTCACAATATCAAAAATAAGAGTTTATAAAAATCAACGCATTGCTCGTTTAAAAAGCCTCTATGAATCTGACCCGCGGATCAAAGTTTCACCACCCCTGCCCCATTCTAACCGAAACCGTCCTCTATCTGCAGCAGAGAACCTGGACAAGCAGGACATCTGCGAGCGGATAGTGATGTCGGCGCTGCGCTACCACAACATCGCGATGATGGAGAACGGCTACGTGTGCATGCTGGGCAAGTTCCACAACGTGCTGTACGTCGCGGCGAAGCTCTGCTACGACTGGAACTTGGAGAACAACGAGATCGTGTCCCGCCTACTGAACGACATGTTCTACTGCGAGAAGACGTTCGAGCGCATCCTGGTCGGCGCGATATTCGGCACCAGGGTGACCCACTTCCTGTCCGGATGGAAGAGCGACTTCGAGGACCGGGAGGAGAACATACGCGCGTTGGTGTACTTCCTGCATCACGCGACCGTCGGCCGTCTCGAGTATCGGTGCGAGTCGTCGACCATTAAGAGACGGTTGATCGACGTCCCCATGGAGTCCTACGGACAGGCGTGGCCATTAAGGGTGGCCATTCAACACGGCTCGCCGGACATCCTGCTGGTGATGCTGCGATACGGAGCCACCGTGGAGTCCGACAAAATAGCCCCTTCGCCGTTGGAGATGCTGCTCGCCAAGCTGAACGAGTTCGAGCCTCAGCCTGGCCAGGACGAGATCGTCTATCCGGAACAGTTGCTCGTCTGCCTGCGGCTGGTCCTGAGAACCATCACCACCGCCTTCGTCAAGACGCCCAGCCACATCGCGGAGCAGAGCGGCGTCCTCAGCATCTCTTTGTACGAGCAGTACCCAACGCTGATGGAGCAGAAACTGATACCGCCGGAGAGAAGCGGGCTCAGCCCGCCGGAACTGAGACACTTGTGCCGATGCTCGATCAGGGAGAGGCTGTTCCAAAACTGGGCCCTGCCGCACGGTATCAAGACCCTGCAGATCCCGGAGTCGCTGAGGAACTACCTGGACCTCCTCTGCGACTGATGTTCGAGGAGTGTTCGTTGGATCGGCGCGCGAACAGCTGATCGAGCCCTGCGCGACGCTTCGGGCAGCGTTTATTCTTTCAACGAAAGCGTCGGTGTCCTTCAGACTCGGTATTTCAGATCGCCGGTGATCGATCGAAGGTGCGAATGTTTGGAAATTGTTTGCCACGTTTCGTAGATTCGGAAAGAGACGTCGATTTTATACGGAGGAGCGAAAGAGGAGGGAGAACGCCAAAGATGCCTTGCCACCGGTCTAGTCTAGCCTGACGAAAGTTTCTGTGTATATTTTTTCATGTATCGAATCGCTGAGAAGTAAAGCAAAACATAATCTCGAACGTCAATGGTAATCTTTCATCGTAGAGCTAGAAATATGTGCAGTTCGAGCGCGGAGATCTAGCCGGGTTTCTTTTTCTTTCTCGCGGGAGCAGCGAGATCTGCTATCTCGTTCGTTTACAGCATCTGCCGAGAGAATAGACGAGTCTAGATTCAACACTTGGGAGCTGCGATCGTGTTTCGAGAATTCTCTGAAAGTTCGTCGAAAGAGTAATCGAAACGGTCGTCGGCACGAACCGGTCGACGCGATCGGACGGCGTCGAGTTCCGCGCGTCGACGCGCGAAACGCGTGCGTCGGCTGGAAGTATCGACTAGAGTGTCTCGAACTTCCCGCTAACTTTTCAATGGAATCTCTTTCTCCGATGCTCCCGCGTCTCGCGAGCCAACGAACTTCCTGATCCAGCGTGGAACGGGAAAACAATGGGACAACCGACGAATTCCGGCAGAGGTGCGCGTAACTAACTTTTCCGCGCGCGTCTGGGACTCGCGCTCTCGCTCCGTTTCGATGTAAGTCGCCTGTAAGATTTGCATCGAGTTACTCTAAACGGATCGTCTTGATTCGGCAATTCGATTTCGGGCGACGAAGACCTCGCGACGGAAGCGCGAACGCCGCGAAACTTGATCGATAGCTCGAGAAACGGAGAGAAGAATCGTCGCGAATATACCGTGGATCTTCGCGCGGAATAAAAATTCTCTGCCTCGATTGCGACAGATGGGAGCTAAATAACAATTTATATTCGTTTCTTACGTTTTTAATGAGTTGAAAACAATGCAACGGCGTTGTTAAATTTATTCCTCGCATTTACCGTTTCGTATTCTATTTATAGTAAATTCTTCCCAATTTTCCTTCAGCTTGTGGACAAAAATGGACAATTTGGGGCGAGGAGATACGATTATTCCAGCTGAATAATAACATATTATATAATGAATAATAATATATTAATTACTTCGATATTTATATTATTTATATATTATTTCTGAATAATAATATATTATTTCGATTGTCAATAATCATAAAAACGAGGTGCAAGGCTGGAATAATCGTGTCTCCTCCTCCAAAATTGTCCATTTTTCGTGCGCAATCTGAGCGCCAAAATTATAGGGAAATTACTGTAATTATAGTAAATACTTTGACAAGTTGGCGCTCGTCGCTAAATACAGTGAACTTTAACTTGTAAACAAAAATGGAGAATTTGGAAAGAGAAGAGAGGATTGCAACTCGTTTTTATAGTTGCTGGCAATCGGCGATTATAAAAACGAGCCACGCTCAGATTGTCCAGAAAAATGGACAATTTGGGACGAGGAGATACGATTATTCCAGCTGAATAATAATATAATATTATTTCGACTGTCAAGAATCATAAAAACGAGGTACAAGGCTCGAATAATCGTATCTCCTCTTCCCAAATTGTTCACCTTTGTTTACACGTAAAATTAGGAAGAATCTATTGTACTCGCTTTCGCGTCATAGATGTATAAAATCTGCAGTCTAGTCACGAACGAATCAGTTAATCCACGAATAACAAAGCTCGAATAACAATGAGCATACCGTTGACATTTTTATCGAAATTACGAACACATTTCTCCAAACGGTAAACGGTGGATCAAAGAAATCGCGCGGCCAGCGTCGAACAAATCTGTCGATTCGACAGGATTTTTAATGCAACGGTGACATCTTGGCGACGAAAGCACACAAACGCGATTCGTTAATAAATTCGATCTAATGGATTTCGGAGTAGCAAGTCGATTATCTGTTCGCAAGCGAGTGCGAAAGTCAAAAGAGGATTACAGAGAGGAAGTAACCTTTTCATTTGAACCCGCGCCGCGGTCCGAAGAGGATCTTCGCCGGCTGAAAGGAAAGTCAGGTTCAATGGGTTCACGATAATTACTCGGCGAGATGGTGCGAGTTTAATGAGTCGAGTCCCCGGTGCCGAGAGAAACTGTGGCCACAGAGGAAGAATGCCGATCGCGAGTGTCCACGTGTTTCACTTCCGCGAAGTGCGGCTTCCACTTTTATATAAGACACGTGACACACGTGGACTGAACTTTTGCGTGGCTCGTCGCATCGAGCGTCGCGGCTGATCTAGGCAGTTGCGATATTACTTTTGTTACGATATTGTAACGAGAAACTCGTCGCAGTCGACGCGAATGTGTTTTATACGCCGACACGAAGATCGCGACACGATAAGACGAAAGAATTTAACGGAGAGAGAAGTAGCAGCGACGAGGAATTAATATTAAAATAAGAATTAAGGGAATTAATATTGATATTAAAATACTCGGGAAGGTAAAAAAGTGTGCTCGATCGTTCAGAAATGGATGTTTGTGACAAAATAGATTTCTGTTAATTCACTTCGTTGTGTCATATTATGCCCATATTATTTGCTATATCATTTCTCTTTTCCTTCTTTTTTCTTGTTTGTACTCTGATTGATCGTTATTCTAATTTTCTGTTGTATAACGAAGAGTTCATTCCACTAAACGAGTGAACATTAATAATAAAACGAAAGAATTTAATGGAGAGAGAAGTAACAGCGACGAGGAATTAAGCTGATTTCCATGATGAACGGCTTAATGATCGTTTAAATACTCGGGAAAGTTAAGAAGTACGCTCGATCGTTCAAAAATGGACTTTTATGACAAAACAGGTTTCTGCTAATTCACTTCGTTGTGTCATACCATGTCTATATTATTTGTTATAACATTTCTCCTCTTTTTCTCTTTTTTGTTTGCACTCTGCTTGATCGTTATTCCAATTTTCCGTTGTATAACGAAGAGTTCATGCCATTACACATTATTAAACATTATTACATTATTAAAATATCACGATGTAGATATGCGACAAAATTGCACAGTCGCAATACGAAATTATAAAAATGAAAGAATACCATCTCCGAGATATCATAATCATGCGAAAGCGAAAGCGCATCCTCGTCTATCTCCTGTTTTCCAGCGATCGACTAAACAGAGGATTTGTCCGTCGCTCGAACGTCGCTCGAGCAATCCATAAAATTCATTTAAGTCGAGACACTGTCTACGAATTTCGGATCGTACGATTGTTGCTCCGTTTATCGTTGCGAAACGTCGCGGCGAAGTCAATCGAAACGAGCCGACAACGAGAATAGATCGCCGCGACGGGGCGTATAAATCCTGCGGGACGCGCGGCTGGAAAAAGTAATAAATTTGATTTTCGATATTTTATCCGGCCCTCCGTGAGACGTTTAATGAATTCGACTGGCGAACGCCAGTCCGTCAATCACGGTTCGATCTCGAGCGATCGCTGCGACTGCAAAACATTCGGCGGATCGGATGACAAGCGATGTAATCGCGTCGTTATAAATGCTGTTATGCATTAAACGTTGGCCCGCCCTGTCCTCTTCTCTTAATCCCCGCGGCACATGGAACTCCCAGAGAGATGTCAACTCGCAATTCCCGTTGGATTTTAGTCTGCTCGGCCGCGTAATCGAATTACATACGCCCTAAACAATTCATTGCCATTGTAATGACAACGCGCCTGATTAGCGATTATCCGATATCGGTTCTGGATAGATCTCCTCCTCGTCCATATGTTTCGTGCTGTTCGAGGAGAAATTACCTGGTTCGTCCTAGCATAATTCGCTCTAACGACGTTACACATTCTTGGACATTTTGCAGTTATTATTTTGCACGATAATCTAAATTCTCAGTCGGATGAAATCCATTATAAATTCTGAAACTAAGGAACCACGATTTCCGGCAACGAAGGAATCACTTTGAAAAGACAATTGCACGATCCCGATAAATAGTTCGTAATTTATCATTATTAATTCCTTGTGTAAATATAAATTATTAACTCGATATATCGGATCTGGATAGATTTGCTCCTCGTCCAATTGTTTCGTGCTGTTCGAGGAGAAATTACCTGGTTCGCCCTAGCATAATTCGCCCTAACGACGTTGCACATTTTTTGAACATTTTGCAGTTATTATTTTACACGCTAATCAAAATTCTCAGTAGGATGAAATCCATTATAAATTCTGAAACTATAAGGAACCACGATTTCCGGCAACGAAGGAATCACTTCGAAACGATTCTTAACAATCGCACGATCCCGATAAATAGTTCGTAATTTATCATTATTAATTCCTTGTGTAAATATAAATTATTAACTCGATATATCGGTTCGGAACAGGTTTCTTTAGATTTTTGTATGTTCCGATTCGAAACAGATGAATATGCTGTAAAATCTCAGATTACGAGGGTCGTAAAAGATCACGCAGAGAATCGAGGGACCAGCGGAATACCGAAATAAAGAAATACAAGTTTAATTAAGCGTTCGCTGCAGCACACACACACGCGCGCCGCAGTACTATAAATTTGTATTTTCCCGTGCAAGATGCGCCCGGCAATAAATGAACGTAATGAACGGAACAAATAACGAGAATCTACGGAGAGGGCACTGAAATCTTAATCTGAAAAATAGCGAACGAGTCACGTTTGTATCGTAAACCTGATTAACCCGTGCACCCTTAGTAGCCGCGTGATAACCGTAAGATGTTTCAACCGATGGAAATAAATAATAAAATTAAAAATCGCAGCTGCGCAGCACGAACAACACCGTGAAAAATTTACAAAATAATAACTTGGTCCCGGAGTTGAATGGATGAAAAACGAGCTCGAGATTCTCTCGAAAGCCAACGTTTCGATCGTGGGAAATGCGCGAGCACCGTTGATTTCTTTCCAGAGAAGAAATATTTGCAAATGGAAGACACTGGGGTAAGAAAATAGATCGGATTATAAGATAACAACCGATACACGTATATACGTGTTATCGTATCGCGGCGTTCCCGTCCGAGAAGCAATTCAACCCTCTCCCCCCCGCCCCGAATCCAATAAAAGCGGCTCTTAACATAAATATAGAGACTCGTGTTGCTTCCAAGTCGCAGCAATTCTTACACTCGAGTGGCTCGCGTCTGTTTGCATGCCCATTATCCCACCCGGAATGACCATCTTTCGTATCGCGCAGCAAGGCCGCACGATTATCGATCGTTTCGTGCAACCAGATTCTCTCTTTCTATCTTCGAAGTTCTCTTTCTCACTCTTCGAAGCTCTCGCTCTCTCTCTCAATCTCTCTTTCTCTTCGAAGCTCTCTCTTTAAAGCTCTCTCTCTTTTCAAAGCTCTCTCGTCAAAGCTCCCTCATCGAAGCTCACTCGTCGAAACTTCCGGTCTCTCTCACTCTCTCTCTCTTTCTCTTCCAAGCTCTCTCTTCAAAGCTTTCTCGTCGAAGTTCACTCGTCGAAGTTCCCTCCTTGAAGCTCACTCGTCGAAGTTTCCGGTCTCTCTCTCCCTCTCTCTCTTTCTCTCTCTCTCTTCGAAGCTCTCTCTTCAAAGCTCTCTCTTCAAAGCTCTCTCGTCGAAGCTCACTCGTCGAAGCTGTCTCGACGAAGTTCACTTGCCGAAGCTCTTTCGTCAAAACTATTTGGTCGAAGCTCTCTTGTTGAAGCTCTCTCATCAAAGCTCTTTTTTCGAGGCTCTCTCTTCGAAGCTGTCTTTTCAAATTCTCTATTCGAAGCTCTTTCTTCAAAGCTCTCTCGTCGAAGCTCTCACATCGAAGCTCTCTCATCGAAGCTCTCTCTCTTCGAAGCTCCCTCCCTCTCCTCCCTTCTCTCTCTCTCTCTCTATCTGTCTCTCACTTTGTTCTCGAAGCCCTTTCTCTCTCTCTTTATCTCCGAAGCTCTTTCTCTCTCTCTCTCTCGTCCTCTCTCAATCTCTTCCGCACTCTCTCGGAAGCTTTCTCGTCGAAGCTCCGACTCTCTCTCACTCTCTTTCTTCGAAGCTCTCTCTTCAAAGCTCTCTCGTCGAAACTCTCTCATCAAAGCTCTCTCATCGAAGCTCTCTCTCTCTCTCTTCGAATCTCTCTCATCGAAGCTCTCTTTTTCTTCGAAGCTCTCTCTTTATCTCTTCGATGCTCCCTCTCTCTCCCCCCTTCTCCCTCTCTCTCTCTCTCTGTCTCTCACTTTGTTCTCGAAGCCCTTTCTCTCTCTCTCTTCATCTCCGAAGCTCTTTCTCTCTCTCCCTTCCTCTCTCAATCTCTTCCGCACTCTCTCGGAAGCTCTCGCTTTCTCTCTTTCTCTCTCGCTCCCGAGCTCTTGCCTGTAAACAATCCCGTGTTCTGGCAAGTCGTTGCCAAAAAATCGGCTACGACTCCGGAATCGGGTCGAACCAGTAACACGTTCGTGCGAACTTCGTTTATGCCTTGTAAATATCGAATTCGAAAGTGGAGCCAGCGCGAGGAAACACTCCGCACCATTAAACGATCTGCTTTATAGATTCGCGGCGGATAGCGTTACTCTGTTACTCGATTGGCTCACCAGCTCCGAAACAACTTTTACCGAACCGATATTAAAAAGCGACCGGATAAACCGGGCGACGCGATTATTCTCCGACTGCCGCTGTCACGTGCTCGTGATTTTCTCTCTAGAGTCATTGCGAACTCCGCGAGTACGTATTCACGAAAAGATAGCACATTTCGATTTCGAAGGATCTTTCATCTTGAATTTCTCCAACCAAGTTTCTGCTTCGATATCGAAGCAGTGGATTAGAGTCATAGTGAGTCACATTTTCGAAGATGTCGAGCTACGTGTTAGAACGTAATCTATACACGAAATAATGTTAAAAAGACGAGTGAAATAAATTATGAAGTTACTATAAGTTAACTTGATTCTAAATTATATTAACAATAAATTCGGTCGGTAAATAATATACCTGTTAGTAAACAATACAATGACATAATGCTTGTTCCTGACAATTAGGAGAATGCGATCACTGTGATTCTAATCCACTTAAATAGATACAATATTTTTATAGATTTTTTCACCTATTTTTTCCTAATCTTTAACACATTAAGTGCCAAATATCAGTCCCAAAAATTCTTGCAACACGAAAGTCGTTCAATTAATAAAATCAAAACCGAAAAGTTAAAATTTACCACTAGAAATATTAATTTAACTCTGTTACATACCACAAATCCTAGTAACATTTGGTTTGTTCAATATACAATACAGAAATGTCTCTCTAATTGACATTCAGATTATCCACAAAAATGGACAATTTGGGAAGAGGAGATACGATTATTCAAGCCTACGTTTTTATAGTCGTTGACAATTCGTAACTATAACAAATGCACCGCAGGAATCGAATAATCGTATCTCCTCTCCTAAATTGTCCATCTTTGTAGACAATCTAAGCGTCAATTAGAGAGACTGTCGATGTCTGGCATTTTCAATGTTGTTGAAAATGGGTAATTTCTAGGTTTTACGGCCTTGTCCATTTTTTTTAGGTAAAACGGCTCCATCTGCAGGGCACGTGAGCGCGAAACGTGCGTTGCCTCGGAAGTCCGTTTCACGGATTGTTTATTTATGACCAATAAAGATTTCACATTGACTCATAATTCGCGGGTCTTCCGCGTTTTTAGTTAGTCGTCGGTGAGCAGCCTGCGAGTACACTAGTTGTCTCTAAGCTCTCACGTGCAGCCAGTAGATTAGATCGTGTGTTCAATAAATAATCAACAGACACATTACCGTATTAAAATAAAAATGAATTTCTGAACCTAAATAAAAATTAGCGATCACCCGCGCGAGACTAACACAGCACTCGATGTGTCAATTCTCTGTTGATATCGAGGTTGCAAAATAATCTGTCGTTTTGAAACGCTGACATCGGCGTTCGTAAGACTGGGAAAAAGAATCGATAATGCAGAGGTAAGCTGAAACCGACGCAGGTTCCAAGGGGACCGAGGAGCTGTTCATGCGTCGCAACGTGATTCAAAGTAAACATTGGCTTTAGACGGTGGTAGAGATCGGTACCTGTAGGCATCCTCGGAGACATTTATTTTTCCCGGCTCGCCGGTGGTCTCGGTCCGGCTGGTCAGATTGACGGTGTTTCCGAACAGGCAATAACGGGGCATGCGGTGGCCAATTACTCCGGTTACGACCTCGCCGCTATGGATCCCGATGGTGATTTTCTGCGGAACAGTTCACGAAACCGCTATCAGCAGGATATCTTGGCGCAGTAGGACGCCGCGCCGTTGCAGTCGTGTCACGTAGCGCGCGTTAAACGATTACCGGCGGAAGCTTTCGCGTCGGAACAGGAAGAGTGCTAAGCCAGGAAGACGAACAAGACTCTCTTTACGGATAATCGAATGCGCGAGATCGGCCGAACCGCGTTCCTTGGGGCACGATGGAAAAGCAACGCAAAACGTTCGTGTATTTGATGTTGCGTTTTATTTATTTCTTCTGTACCCTCGGTTGACAGAAGAAAATCGAAAGTCCTCTGTTACGAGAACTTCGAATGATCTGTCGAGCGTTGAAAAGAAACTATGTACGGTAATGTCTCCCTAATTCGCGCTCAGATTTCGCGCAAGAATGGACGATTTGGGAAGAGGAGATACGATTATTATTCGAGCCTCGCAGCTCGTTTTTTTATAGTTGTTGACAATTCGTAACTATAAAAATGAACCGCAAAGATCAAATAATCGTATCTTTTCTCTTCCTAAATTGTCCATTTTTGTGGACAATCTGAGAGACATTACTGTAGTCGATTTGAGAGGTTACGCACAGTGACAAAAAATTATATATTCGGACGCGTTTTAAAACGCGATAACTTCTTTAAGAATGGAATAAACGATTTGATTTTTTTTTAGGTGATAGAGGAATGAAAAATGGCTGAACTATTTTGTTACGATTTCGTTATTACTTGGAGTGACGGAACAAAATATAAGACTCTAGTTTTTTAAGCTTTTATCTGAGCCTGCAGCGAAGATTTAAAGCAACGTGTTTTGTAGATCTCGGTAAGTTATATGAATGTTAATAATTTCATCAAAATCGGTTAACGCGAAGTCAAGTTGCAAGCGTTTGAAAGATCGTAAAAATTGCAAATTTCTCAGAATTATTGGTCGAAAAAATCGTCAAAAGTGTCAAAAATCGGAACGAAACTGCGATTTTTGCAATCTTTAACTACCGATTTTATCTACCGATTTTGGCGAAGTCTTTAACATGCGTGTAACCTATTGAAATCTATAAAGATACATTTTGTTAATTTTCGCTATAGGCACAGATACAAAATTTAAAAAACGAGAGCTTTTTAGTTTCTTTTGTCACTCCACGCTGTAGCAAAATTTAAAAAAAGCATTCCAGTCATGGTTTACTAGACTGGTCGCTCAATAATCTAAAAGAAATTTAAGTCCAAAGTTCTAAAAAAGTTATTGCATGTTGTAAACCGTTCGAATATTCATCACAGCGGACCAAATTACAACACTTTCGCATCCGAAACATCCTAATCGAATTCAGTTCGTTCGATTCTATTACAATAAAAAATGAATCATCGAAATTGATGATAAATTAACGTCTCAACGCGTTAATAACAAGAATTAATCTTCGAATCGACAGTGGAAATGAATTTCTACTCGATCTTCGTGGCTGAAAGAGCCCGGAAATTCCGCGTCCGACGCTTCGAATAGCCTGCGGCGCTTTCAAGATTCGGGAACCGTGTCCAATCGAACGGTTCAAAAAATAAATGTTTTCGTCCGCGGATAAGTTGCACTTGTCTCTTTGCACTTAATCTTTCACGGGGTTAATGGACGAACGATGTATATCCGGAGGATGATAGATGAAGTTCGTGAATGTAGAATAGAATCTCGTTCTCTCTCTCTTCTTTCTTTCTTTCTTTTTTTTCGGGCTTGGATTCGGAGAATGGCGTCCTAAAATAGGAACGGTCTGAAAGGGGAACGGCGTCAAATATATCGAGACTTACCACGGGCTCGCCATCGATCTGCACTTCCTCCGTGGCGAGATCCATCATATCCAGCGCCAGCCGGGCGATGCATCGTGCATGGCAACTACATGGTTCCGGTAATCCGCTCACGGCCATGTATTTGTCACCAACAGTTTCGACCTAGTCCGAGCAAAGTGGATCAGCGCTAACAAGCCTTCTCTCGTAAATTCAAATATATATCCGCTGTCCGGCGATGATAATTCTCCGTCCGGTAATACAGTAATGTCTCCCTAACTGACGCTCAGTTTGCGCGCAAGAATGGACAATTTTTGGAAGAGGAGATGCGATTATTCGAGCCTTGCAGCTCGCTTTTTATAGTTCTTGACAATTTTTTATGGTTACCGATCGTTAACTATGAAAACGCGAGGCTCGAATTTCGGGCGCAATTTGGGCGCGAATTTGGGAGAAATTACTGTACAGACAAATGTTGAAATGTTTTTATGCAACTAGTTTAATTAGTGCGACTAGATTAGAAATTATTGCATACAAATTTTCAGATAAATCCGTCGCTATTTCGTATTTTCACTGATCGACGTATTTTGACTCCTAATTGACGCTCCTAATTGACTCTCCCTAATTGACGCTCAGATTGCGCACTAAGAATGGACAATTTGGGAAGAGGAGATACAATTATTCGAGCCTTGCAGCTCGCTTTTTATAGTTGTTGACAATTCGTAACTGTAACAAATGAACCGCAAGGCTCGAATAATCGTATCTCTTCTTCCCAAATCGTCCATTTTTATGGACAATCTGAGCGTTAATTAGGGAGAGTTTACTGTAATTCCAAATGAGTTCGACTCAATTTTATTTAACCCTGATCGACGCAACATTGCACAGCTAATGCAGTAAATTCTCTCCAATTATCTCTCAGCTTATAAACAAAAGTGGACAATTTGGGAAGAGGAGACACGATTATTCGAGCCTTGCAGCTCGCTTTTTATAGTTGTTGACAATTCGTAACTATAATAGCGAACCGCAAGGCTCGAATAATCGTATCTTGTCTTCCCAAATTGTCCGTTTTCGTGGACAATACGAGCGTCAGTTAGGGAGACGTTACTGCACAGAGTTCCCGGCCCGCGTTCGGGCCCGACCGCGGATTTCATCTCGAAATTTATCTCGAATTTTATCCGGTCTCCCGAAGATATTAGCGGCAAGTTGAACGGCAGCGTCCTCTAACCCCGGCTTGTTAAGTGACCCGAAGTACGCGACAAGTTCAACATTCATTACGCCGGCTGGCGAACCAGTTACAAAGTGCTGCTAGTTTGAAAGCAAACTCGAGCCGACGGGGATTCGCGCGAACTTCGTATCGTCGCGAAGCAATATCCCGAAACGATTATGTGCAATGAAAGAAGCCGCTAACAGTACTAGAAAGTTCGCTATTCAAACAGCTATATAACAAACCGCGGCGGTTTGCATTTCATCTTTTCACTCGGCCCGCGGGTCCTTTCCCCTTTCCGCGAACGCGACATGTATGTCACGTAGGATTTTTGCGAATCCGCTCACGAAACGTTCCCGTGCTTCATTCTCAACAAACGCGGCCGATGCGGTCCACTAATGGGACCTGCACACACCGGCGATCGCTTGGAATCGCTGCCCCGGAATTTTCTCTCGAGACGATGTATGTATGTTAATTCTCGTCGCTGAACTCGCGAGAACTTCGTCTCGGTTTTTCTGCGCGCGACTAAAAGTTTGCTCGATTTTTCCGGAAAAATGGAAGTGCGCTTTCGAGGATTTGGAAAAAGAAAATGTTGCAGAGAATCGACGAATGAAACGGCGGGGAAATATTGTTATTGGATATAATAATAATATTAATATTATAATATTATAATTATTAATATTATATATTATAATATTGTTAATATTATAATATCATTATCGGATATAATAATAATATTAACCCTTTGCACTCGAGTGATGACTCTGAGGCACCGCTAAAATTTGTTACGTCACGTTCTTACATAATTCTCACGTTAAAGTTTAGATTTGAAAAAATTGTTAGAAGTTTAACCGTTGTGTAAGTCGCAAGACTCAATTTCGCATGCACAAAATGCACTTTGTCATATAAAATGAAAATACTAAAGGACAGAAAAATTATTTTAGATTTGCAGTTAAAGTAGCTTCGAGTGCAAAGAGTTAATATTATAATATTATTATTAGGTATAATAATAATATTAATATTATCATATTATTATTGGATATAAGAATAATAATATTAATATTATAATATTATTAATATTGAATATCGTTCAATGCGTTAACACTAGATTTACGGAACCCGACAAAATGGCGGGTCGCTAACTTTCTTCATTTACGCGAGATGCATTTGCGAATTATTTGTTCAATTCATATTGCGGCAAATGTTACAATAACACTCGTTAAAAATCAGAATAAACGTCTTATCGTTACTTTTATAAACTGATATAGAACAGCTGATTTTTGTGCTCCGTAAATCTAGTGTTAATTAATTCGTTCGATTTCGTCGAGTCGTTCAGCTCAATTTACAATTAACATCGTGCACGAGTGCAAAGAATTTCATTCTAGGTACGATAAAATTTTCGCAAGCATGAAATGAATCGTTCACGTGACTCGAAATTAGAACGGAATTTTTCGAAGAGAAGCTATTTTTTTTCTCCGGCAGGGAACGGCGCAAGCTCTGGCCGTGAATCTGTTTGGGGATTAACGCGGCCAGCACCGTGCTGCCGTGGATACGGGCGACCATAAACTCACCTTGTACACGTCCGGATATTTCTCCGGGTCGGTTAACACGTCGAACGCTGTGTACAGTTGATTGAGCATGTTGACGATCTTCATTGCACCGTTGGAGTCAGTGTGCGCCGCGCAATAATCCCCAAAACCGACGATCCCGGAGAACAATAGCGTCACACAATCGTACTTCTTCGCTGGGACCGGCCTCGAATGCCGGAGTTCCTTTGCCACGGAGACTGGCAGCACCGAGTACAGCAGGCTGTCGGATAATCGGATCTTTTCGTAGAAATTGCGTATCATAGAAAATTACTGTTTCTAATTACTCGGCGATAATGCATTCTACAGGGTGGCCACTGAGAAACTGTAGAGTTTGGAAACTATAGGTGTGAAACTATATATAACTATATAGTTATAGTATATCTATATCTAGCTATATCTAGTATAGCTATGCTATGCTATTTAACCAACAAAACAAGGAAATAAAACAGATTGAATGTATATACATTCAATCTGTTTTATTTTCTTGTTTTGATGGTTAAATCATATAATAAATCATATAATAAATTTCATTTTTCATTATTTTATTTGGAAATATTATTAGTGGATATTTTGCAGAAAAACAGTACTCCTCAACTGATATATCAACTGATACATAACAATTTACCTCCGAGTTTTAATAATTGATTTTTCACCGGAATAACAAATTTTTCTTGATTTGTTGGTTAAATAGCATAGCATAGCTTGGAGACTGAAATGACTATGTGCGATGACAAAACTCGTTGAGCTTTTTTTATTCCGGTGAAAAATCAATTATTAAAACTCGGAGGTAAATTGTCATTTATCAGTTGATAAATCGGTTGAGGAAGATTGTTTTTCTGCAAAATATCCACTAATAATATTTTCAAATAAAATAATGAAAAATGAAAGAAATATGTGCCTGTAAAAGTTATTTTTGTTTTATATTGTTCGGTGCAAGCAAACGATATTGATATTGTAAATCTCAATGATTTAATATTGTAAATCTAAATTGATCGTAAATCTCAATTTATATTATTGGTATCAGAGTATACAGGTTATACATTATTAATTATTAATTTTACAATATATTAATTTTAACTTTACTTTTTATATTAAATTACCAAAACTATGGTAATTCCGAGAAATGAGGGATTCCTCAAGTCATTCAAAGTAACTTTTTCCTCAGCGAAAATGCAATCCGCCGTTTCGTTCACGAGTTATTAACGAAAAACGCTGACTAATCAGAGAGCAGCTCGACTGACGCGCGGCGGCCAACGAGCGAACGAAGCGCAGTTCCCTCCATTGACTCACCGCCTCGCGGCAGCCGATCTCGCCTCCGATTGGTCGCCGTTTTTCATTAATATCTCGTAAACAAACCAGCGAATTGCATTTTCGCAAAGGAAAAAGTTGCTTCAAATAACCTCGGGAATCCCTCATTTCCCGGAAGTGCCACAATTTAGGGTCACCCTGTTCAATCGACGATATAAAAGACGATGCTTTTTAAATCGTCAAACGCAGCCCGACACAGTCGTTGAATGGTCAACGAAACGAGTACAGCTGGGAATAGTCGCCGAATGCAAAAGGAATAGGCTTCTTCCTTGGTACAAAGAATTGGAGCACGGTTCGACCGCGTCGAGCTAATCAGAATTCATTCTGAAGGTGTCTACGAGGTGTGTTAGCAAAGTATCAAGACCAAACGTGTGACGGAAAACTGGCAGCAATATAGCCGCGCCTCCCACACGAACCAAGCTGCGCATTCCTACATAATAATCAGCGCGCATTGCAACTTTCAATTTTACAGTCTCGTCACGAGGACGAGTTTCCACTCTAAAAGTCCTACGGAACATCGTACGTTCGTTTCTTTCTTATTGTTTCTTTTTTTACATAAAATCGCGTTCGCTACCGAAGCGAGAGGAGTCGCCGAACGTGCGCGAACACTTTACAAAGTTTATCGGACCGGCGTCTCGAGCAGCCTGCGTTTCCAGTCGTGGAATAAGAGATAGACGGTGCTATATTTTTCACTATCTCGCGCGAACGTCGCCTGTTTCGACGTTTAAGGACGGCGCCGTTCCTTCTGCGGTGGGAAAAGAGAGCGAGAGAGAGAGAGAGAGAGACAGAGAGAGCGCGAGAGAGCGAGAGAGAGAGCGCGAGAGTAGGAGAGCCCGAGAGAGAGAGAGAGAGCGAGAGTAGGAGAGCCCGAGAGAGAGAGAGAGAGAGCGAGAGTAGGAGAGCGCGAGAGTAAGAGAGCGCGAAAGAGAGCGCGAGAGAGAGCGCGAGAGTAGGAGAGCGCGAGAATAAGAGAGCGCGAGAGAGAGAGAGAGTGCGAAAGAGAGCGCGAGAGTAAGAGAGCGCGAGAGAGAAGAAAGAGTGCGAGAGAAAGCGGGAGAGAGTGAGAGAGAGGGTGGGAGGGAGGGAAAAAAAACGAGCGCGATCCAATTTCCGGCGAGGAAGAGTATCCTGTCAAGAAATTGTACCGCGAAGGGAAAAACTGGCCGGCCGTCACCGGCCAGAAATTGCGTCAGGATAAACGTCTAACGAGGCCAATGGGGATTTCCTTAATCAGAAAATTACGCCGACGGTGGAATCTTCCTTACCTGTCGGTCTTCTTCTTCTCGCTGTCCAGCTCGCGATACGTCTGCTGCAATTTATCGGTAAGAAGCTCCAAGTTCACCGTTAATTTGTAATCAGCCTCGAACCGCTCCGACATCAGCACGAGATCTCTGGTGGCGTCGTGAAGGGGGATGTCGCTCAAGTACAGTCCCCACCTGCGGTGATCGATGGCGTCGGAAGCGAAAGAAGAAAGAAAAAAAGTATACGGATTCCTTGATTTCACGCCGACATTTCGGAGGAGAAAGTGTCACCGACTCGGTGACACGGCGGAAAATAAATGCCGCGGGAGCTCGTTCTTACGTCGATAGAAATTGATCGAATTTCGATTAGCGCAATTTTCTGGGAATTCCGTGATGACGCGATTTTTACGCGAAGACGGAGAATTAACGAGGCAACCTCGACGACCCGGAAATACCGATTTAATTTTGAACCCGTGCGAGTTTGTTCGCGACCATGAAAATTGTTTCCAGCTCCCTTTGTTATCGTTTGTTCGTGTTTTTCGTTTCTTCTTCGGAGTCAAAATACCGCGTATGCATGAAATTAGGTGTATCTTATCTATTTATACAGGGTGTCCCAAAATTGTGGTATTTCCGGGAAATATGGGGTTCCTGAGATCATTCGAAGTAACTTTCTTCTTTACAAAAATGTTCTACGTAGCGTCGTTAACGAGTTATCAACGAAAAACACTGACCAATGAGAAGCGAGCTCGGCTAGCGCGAGGCGGCCGAGCCAACGAGCGCATGGAGCCCAGTCTCGTTCATTGGCTCGGCCGCCACGCGCCAGCTGATCCCGCCTCTCATTGGTCGCCGTTTTTCGTTAATAACTCGTAAACTAAGCCGCGGATCGCATTTTCGCTAAGGAAAAAGTTACTTCAAATGGTCTCATGAACCCCTCCGTTCCCGGAAATACAATAATTTTGGGATACCCTGTATATCTATTATATAATACTATTGTATTAGTCTATTATGTTGTAGTATAGGATTATAGCATCTATTATTATCTTATCTATTATTATTATAGTAGTAGAGTGCCAAAATTTGTCAAACTTCCTTACAAGTGTCTAACATTTACTTTTGGAAGCAAATATTGTTATCACTGACGACGATGATTTTTATAGATTGTTAAATAACGAATACGTTATTTATATAAAATACGTTATTATTAATATTTTATAATGTTTATATTTATATATCTCGTATATATCTCGTTTATATTTACACGTTATTTTTTTGGAAAGCTTACGAACGTTACGAAGCATCACGGCAACAGCCGAAAGAAATTCCTATCGGGACACGTGAATATTTAAAACCGATCAGCATTGCTAATATTGATAATCGTTCGCTAATAAATTCGGCAATTCGATCATCCGCTGCAACGGGAACACGCCGGCCGGGAAAATCGGAGGAGAAACGTCGGAGGTCGACGGGGCGCGCGATAAACGGGCGCAATGATTCACATTTCGCGCGGCGGGGGCTCCGCGAGAATGCAAACTGAAACGTAGGCGTTCCCGGCCGGCGGGGTTAGCAAACCGCGAAAAATATCGGTTCCGCCGTGGCCGGTGAAAATTTATATTATAATAATATATATATTTATATATGTATAATATTATTTATATTATTATATTATTATATATTATTATTTGTATATAATAATATTATATTATTAAATTTATATTATAGTAATATATATATAATATTATTTATATTATTATATTATTATATATTATTATTTGTATATAATAATATTATATTATTAAATTTATATTATAGTAATATATATATAATATTATTTATATTATTATATTATTATATATTATTATTTGTATATAATAATATTATATTATTAAATTTATATTATAGTAATATATATATATATAATATTATTTATATTATTATATTATTATATATTATTATTATTTATATATAATAATATTATATTATTAAATTTATATTATAGTAATATATATATATATCTATATAATATTATTTATATTATTATATTATAATCATATTTATATATATATATATAATATTATTTATATTATTATATTATAATAATATTTATATATATATATAATATTATTTATATTACTGTATTATAATAATATTTATATATATATAATATTATTTATATTACTGTATTATTATATATTATATTATATATAAGTAATAATATTTATATAAATTTATATGATATACGCCGGCGCGCGTGTTTTTCCGGCGCGTTGTGCTGCCAGCAAGCTAATCCAGCTGCACGTAACTCGCGCGCGTTCCCGCCGTCTAATCCAATGCACGCCGGACATCTGAGCTCGCCGGCGCGGCGGCGAGCACAAAAGAAAGTTGCCGCGGCGCGCAGGTGACGCGTAATGAGAGCAAACTCGGTTAAGCTCGAAATTTATCCGCTAACAAGCCCGACGCTCTGAATAAATCCCCGGACCACTCTGACTACGCCCCCAGAATTATCTGGCTGTTAATCGGTTGGCCATGTTGCGAGCGACGCCACGGCCGCAAAAGCTTGTCGCTCTATGTGTCGATCGAGAGATCGAGCTTCGTATCACGAAGCGCTCTAGTTTGACAACGGCGCGAATAAATCTCGGTTCTAATCAATCCTTGTCGGAGAGACGGCTGTTAATTTGCGGCACCGTGGTAACACGATTCGCAGCGAAACCTACGGATTGATTCCAGCCGATACGTTTCATGCATTTTTATGCTCTGCGCGGCCTGGCGAAAGGTCAGAGCTTTATGCGCGCGATGAAGCTTTGCATTCGAATACAGGTAACCCTAGAAAATGCCGTGTCGCGCGAAACCGTGTCACACGAGACCCAGAGTCGGTGCAAAAAGGGCACCGAAAGCTTGGTAAAAAAGAAACATTTTCTTTTTTTAATTTAATGTGAGGAACTCAACTTTTACTTGAAGATATGAATGTATGTAGAACAGGAAACGAGAAAAATAGAGAAAATAATTATTATACCAAAATTGTTACACATTACACATTACACATATAGATAACAATTATTATAGAAAGAAAATATTATTTTCATTTAATGTAGCAACAATCGAACGAGAATGTTTTTTCGCGATTGAAATTATTGATATAAAAAAAATATTAAAATAATTGAACGATGTCAGCTTCACTTTCTGAAGCTTCTTCTTCGTTCAGACTTTTTGCACCTTCTATCCCCTGTAAAAAATCTGTGATTTTGGTTTGTTTGGTGCTTCTTATAAGGTCATCGTAGATTTCATGGTATGAAGATAGACACTTTTGCAGCTCTCTTTTGAATTTTCGGCTTCTTTCAGCAATTTATATTTATATTTATATAATATAATATAAATTATATTATATAATATTACATATTTATATTTATTATTATTATTAGATATTTATATAAACCCTTAATTATAACAAATATATTTTCATGTAAAGTCATTATATTTTTCTTTATATACGGTTTATATTTATACACCCTCAATTATAACAATTATATTTTCCCGTAAAGTCATATTATATTTCATTATTCCTTCCCGTCATTATTTTAAGATAATTCAGTTTTTCAATATATCAAAAAGAAAAATCATTATCTTTATCCAAAACTGTAGAAGTACAGCGTCGTACAAAAGTCTTCGCAATTTTCTTATCGCGTTAGAGCGAAACAGTGTTGCAGGTTGCACTGCTATATATAGGATTCCCGCAATTTATATCCTATCGTGTTAGAGCTTTCGCTATAGGATGCCGCCGTGTTGTCGGAAGGCTGCCTGCACCAAGTTTCATGAATCCTTACACTGTACGAACCGGTGTTGCGAAAGATCAACGAACGTCGAAGCTCTGTCGCGACATTAAGGAGAAAGCTTTGAGAGCGCGGGCTCCTCGAGAGTGATTTTACTGCACAGTTCCTGCGAAGGTCCTACTTCGAAGCAACCATAAATATCCTGAACGGTGGCGACGGTTCTCGACTTTAACCACGTCCCCTGTCACCTGTACCAAATTTTCCGGACCAGTGGGGGTGAAACGCTGCGAGGAAAACTCGCTGCGAAGATACGAACAGCGCGAGTCGGACGGCGCACATTTATCAAAACGGACACGTTCGAAGAAACGTGGAAACAAGGAGAAAGCTATTTTGATTCCGCGAGGTTCGCTCGTTGGTCAAAGGTCACCACCGGTCCAACGGCGAAATACATAACAAACCAATAAAGCAGACCGCGTCCGCGAGACATTCCGATGACACCGCGAAACAGACACCGGTGTCGGATTGCTATGGAAAGACGGTACTGTTCTCGCGTGTCAGCGTGAAAATGCATAGAGCGTACGGTTGTCGGGAACACGTCCGTTGCATCCGAAACGTGGCACGCGGACTAACGAGGCGCAGGCCGATCGTAAAGGGCGAAAACCCCGTGAAAAACGAGAGCCGCGGATTTTATTCGAACGAGGCTAATTCGGTGGCGCCGTGACAAGAATTAATGGGGCCGCGGCGCGACAGAACGAGACACGGGGATGACGGTAATTACACGAGCCGTCGCGTCCGTTTGGTATCTATCGAATCGTATCTACGACCGTTATCGCCGCGGAAAGGCCAGGCGAAATATTTTAGCGGCGGGGACGGGGGACGCCGGCCGATGAATTAATACGCGCGAGGCCTATTTAACACTTTCCTTATGGCAGCCCGCTCTGCTGGAGCGACGACACTGACCTCGACGCACCGCGCCGCGAAATGTGCACTTTGCACGTCGGTAGTCTTCGATGATCGGACTGTGTGCTCACTTTTTGGGGGAACCCTGTATCACGGAACGGTCAAACAAACGTTCGAAACGAACAATGTCGATGTTTTCGGTGATCATTTGCTGGTGTATGTTATTCGGCTTTGCGAGTACAGTCAATTCTTTCCGATTGTTCTTCAGCTTGCAAACAGAAATTGTTAAATTCGGGGAGAGGGGATGCGATTGTTCGAGCCTCGCGACTCGTTTTTACAGTCGCCGATTGTCGACAACTATGAAAACGAGCCGCGAGGCTCGAATAATCGCATCGCCTCTTCCCGAATTGTCCATTTTTGGTTGCAAGCTGAGGGACAATTGGAGAGGATTTTCTGTACAGTACACTCAGCTTGTTAACCCTTTCCGTACGGCAACCTGCTCCGCTGGAGTGACGACACTGAACGGGGCAT